CATTTAATTACTTAATCTGAATTATTACATTTTGCTGATATACTTTTTGCAGTTTGAAATGTTAAGATCTGTACATGTCATTCATTTTTACATCAACGTTTCTTTAGTCTGAAGTTGGTGACGGATCTCTTCAGTAACGATGGAGCAATTTCCAGCTACACTGACATGAATAATACACAAAAACTATCACACCATAGTTTGATGTTAGCGGGGTTTTTTTTTTTTTAATATCAATGGTTATTTGTAGAAAATGTAATTTAATGTATAAGTTTGCCATTTGCGTTTTAAGCGTTGTCATTGTCAACTTTTGCCAGATGACGGCACATCTCAGAAGTGTGAAACTCGAACCTTTGTTTGTTTTGCATACATGGTAACGTAGTTCAGCATCAGCTTTGCACGTGCTCAACTGCTTAAAAACGATTAAAATCCCCGATAAAGATGACTAAAATAAAGCCACGTGCAGCTGCACCTCTTTGCATTTTACTTGAAAAACATGAAGTTTGAAAAATGTCCGTTAATTTGACACAAACGAGAAAAGCACCCCTCGATGTTGTTCTGTTTCTCATACCGACGATCCCACCAAGTGAAACTCGGTGCTGTTTTGCATAGCCACAGGCAGTGGCCAGCAGTACTTTTCCATTAGTGGCATGACATCGCCCTTTTAACAGACTCTTTGATGCTTTGATGGAGTTTCTTCTGTGGTTTCACAGTTTATCACATAGCTTTATCAATAGCTCCTTGTTTCAAGTCTTTTTTTCACATATAAAAATGCTAACTGTAAACCGTGTTGGCCTCTGGTGACATCATACAGGCCCATAATATTGTCATGCGACCTCTTTATAAAACACAGTGGTGACCTTTGGAGGGTTTTAAAGGCAGCTGTGTTTGTTTTTGGTTTAACTAATGGCTGCAGGTCAGAACCAGGGGTGGGTTTACTGCATGGAACAGGTTAATGTAGCAGTCCACATACAGACACCTACCCCTGCCTCAAACAGGTGTTTCCAGTTTTGGTGGCGTAACCTGAGCTTTAAACAATGCAGTCCCCACTAAGAGCGTCTGAACCGTCCATTCGTGGGAACCTCTGTTGTCCCAAGTCCCTGGCATTGACAGTGGTCATGGATTTTGTTTATGGAGTTTTTAAGTCTATGTCTTCACTGTGTGTTTTCCGTGTGTGGTTCTCTGACCTTCTGTTATTTGTAATTAGATAATTAATTTATGTATTTGGACTTAGACGGTGGCATACAGAGGAAAACATGCTCTGCCCAATGACAGCCAGACCAGAGAGATACTGATCAGGCGCCATGCCACCATTCGACGAAGCCTCCGACCTCGTAGTTGTCAGTCATCGGTAAGCTACCTTGCCCAATTTATTTGTATTATTTTAATTAATTATTTATTTTGTTGGGAGCGTGGGTTGGGATTTTCGGTACATCCCCGGGGTCTTAATTAGAAGTACTTTGGGCAAATAACAGTCACATTAAAAATGTTCTTTTTGAGCTGATTATCTCACACATGAAATTCAAACACTAGATTAAATGTTCTCACCACTTTTCATCAAGTTTTTTCCCCATTGTTATTCTTAGAACGTGCCCAGGACACACAAGTATTTCTCGCTTCCTGATGGAAAGAGTCTGGAGTCAAGATTTGATGCTGCGAGGTGGCACTACACAGGTAAACTGAGATTATCTTTGAAATCCCTTAACACAACCTTACCCTTCATATAAATGAGAATAAATGATGAAAACGTCACTTTCTTACAACGTTTGGAATTTTTCAACCTGATTCGAGCCTTAATTCATCAGAACTGAAATGAATTGTCTTTTCTCAGCAGTGTGCACAGAACAAATGAAGTGCTTTGTCGATAATTCATCTGAATCTTAGGAGCTGGACTCCCTTTACAATTTTGTCTGTATATGAAACCCCTGCACTACAAGCTGTTTTCATTTTCTTGTCTCACTCTTCCTTTTTCAGTTCATCTCCCTCTCATTAGTACACAGAGATCTGTCTGGCCTGGAAGCTGCCGCCAGTCCCCCTCCGAGACCTCCCCAAAACCGCTGCCTCGATTCTTGCTTATGCTATCTGCCATTATCTACTAGAAAGGGAGTCAAATATAAATGAGGACGTGGTCCATGCTAGTAAATTATCTCCCTGGTATCAGAAAACCACCCCCAAAACTATTAATAAGACTTTGTCAGTCTCATTAATGTCACAGTATGTGTCTCCTGAAAAAACAGAAACCCCCTCCCCAAAACAGAGCGATGTGCACATATAAGAATGAACCAAAAGGGAGAGCTTGTAGATATCAATCTACATTCAAGACAGCAGCTTGACAACTAGATTTTTTTATCACAGAAGCGTAACGTTCGTGGTTCAACAGCAGCTTCAAGAAGCTGTTCTTCAAAATGTCCAGTTTTTACCAGCAGGTTATGGCATGAAATTGAAAACAGGTTCAGGTTAGTTTGTTCTTGTGGTTAGATTTGTTCTGCAGCAAGCCATCCATCCTACCATGTACACTCTCAGTGCAAACACAACAGACAACAAATAAGCATAGTACAAAATACTGGAAACAACAACTAATAATAAGCATTGTGTAACCCACACAGTAACAAAGCTATAATTTGTCCATTCGACCAATGGCAGCTAGAACAAAGCACTTGTAATGCTCATTTGAATGATTTGTACCACTTTGTTGGTTTCTTGAGTGGCTGGTTTGTGTATTGCTAGAATTTGTAGGATGGCATCATTTCACCTTCCTTTCATAAAGGTAGGTTCAGTGGATCCTTTGCTAAAGGAAACGATTGAAAAGCACTGAAGCCTTTTTCCTTATGTTAGGGTTCAATTCAAGCAGCAAGGCTGGAGCTATAGTAGTTAAACATAACCATGTTGTCATAGTGAGCGTGTTAGTATGAGTGTACTTTACCATTTTATTTTTTGTTTTCAATCTCATCCCAGATGATCATGAGACCCTATCAGAAGTTGCCTACCCATCTCAACGCTCCCGGTTTGGCAAGCCCGCACGCTCCTCCTCCTCCAAAGCCATGATACCTCTGCACAGGCTGGGCACTCTGGAAGAAGTGCCATCTACTGATGTTCTGAATGAAGAGAGCAGCAGTACGGGGGAGGGTGTGTTCAGGACAAACTCCTCCTACAGTGATTCCCGCGTGCCTCGTCCTCGCCGCTTAAATTCCTCATTTGATGATAACAACAGTTCGGTGGACGATTTAAGAAATGTTCACGAAGAAGACGGCGCAGAGCAGGTGGGGCAGCGTCAGCCTTCGTCTCCAGCGCCAGGCTGGGTGGCTGAGCCCAGAGAGACCACGGCTCGAAACCCTCTGCTCAGGCGGCCTCAGTGGAACCCCAAGAAGAAATAAAAGTGGTGCAGCTGGACTGTCTCCACCTAATCAAGCAGCTGGAAGTTTCTGCTTATGACTGTAAGCTCAAATAACTTTAAAGACATTTAGAATAACATTGAAGGTGTCTTCATTACTCATTAGAGGTAAAACGGTCTTCAAAATGAGCCAAAATGGACTAACGCTTCAGTGTCACACTCCTCAGAAGCACAGTGAACTGTAGCAACTGTACTGTAAATAAACTGTGAGACTTTTTACACATGTACTTATTTTAACTAGTCTTAGAAAATAATTTTAAATGTCTTTTTTTTCTTCATGTGGGAGTTTTTAAATGTGGAAGGTGAGGTTAATTAAACTGTTATTATACATTTGCCCTTTGTGTAAATAGAATGTTTTTTGTATTTTATTGTCTGTCTTGTGTGATAGTTACATGACTGAAGATGTACATTTTGTGTGTATATAAATGTTTTTTAGTCAAACAAGCTGTTGCTGCGCAGTACAAAGTACTTTTTGAATGCCTGACAATGATAGTCCCTCTGGCCCAGCTGCTTTCCTTTATTCTGTAATAAATTTTCTTTGTTGAAAGTTCTTATAAGTTTTAAGGTTTGTGACACTGAATAAAATGATGTCAGATATTAAAAGTGAATGTTTTTAATATGGTTAAAAATACAATTCAGGAGACAGACACAAAAGTACAAACTGTTTATTTGCTGTAACAGTTTTTTGGGCCTTAGTGTGGCAGGTCCTTCATGGAGCCTAGAGATAAATGAGATAAATGTATAAGAGAGCGTTTCCGATTGTTCCAGAGAGGTGCACTATGAAGGACGTTCAACACAGCCAGGCTTTCTCTGAGTTAGCTGGCTTGACAAAACCTATGATGGCGGTTATTAACTTTGTCTGCCAAGTCGGACTTTCTGCTTCAGGCTCCGTGTGCAGTTACATAAAAAGGGGCGTTTCACATGTCACATGACACTCATCCCGCACAACAGGATCCCTGTGAGCGCCACCTACTCCAACCAGAAACGACATCAGATGATGACTGACTAGTGATGAACAATCTATAAACAATACCAACATGTAAAAGTGAAAGACAAGACAGGAAATGAATGCTGCAGAAAATCTGCTTATTTAGTGCAGAGAGTGGTAGAGTACACATTTTAATTCAAGTTAATTCTTTTAATATCGAGTGCACTCTCATTTCTAAAGTGATGGCTGCACGTTAGAACTGTGAAACTTTTCAGTTTATTGCTTGAACAGGTAACCTTGTTCTGTGTGCGTGAGAGAGTAAAAGAGGCTAAATAGATTAAAACCAAGTATAAAAAGGTTGACATTTTCTGCATCATGAATGCATGCACAGCGACATTGAGTTATGTGTTTCATCTCACTTCATATTACACCTCTCTGGCTCTGGTGATGCAAGTAAACAGGTGTTGAAAATAATATGTTATAAAACTTAAAAACAGTGAATAACAAATATGCATTTAAGCCTCTAATTAGGTAAATTAACAAATCTCTATTCTTTATGATCAGTCAAAGAGGAACATTAGATCAGATACTGCTATAACGACCATTTCGGATACTTTGCATTAGAATAAAAAACAAAAAAACCCATTGAGGTAAAATGTGTAAAAATCAAACTCATACCAAAAATGTAATAGCCTGCCTTTGACAGTCATCTTTTTAATTTTTATTTAATGAATTAAGTATTATTTCAATTAAATCACCCTCCTCTTCGGGCATGTAGTGCAGACCTGCTTTCATCAACTCCAGCTAAATTGCAGTGGTTACAAAACTTCATTAAAAACAAAGTCATAAAAATACAGTCATAATCCAGTAGTTTGTGCCCAAAGGTTGCTGTCAAACGTCAGCATTTTGCAGCAGTGTCTTCATTCCTACAGTGCACGTGACTTTTGATTCACCTGTCCCCGAGACGAAGACTTCAGTGCTGGTGTGATTGAAACGTCACAATATTTCCACCCTGTGATGTCATCGCACCAACAGAAGGGCTATCCTGTTTAAGAATAACACGTTCGAGTTGGCTTCACCGTTCCCTCGAGGAGTCTGCTGTTCATTGTCCCAGCTGGTCTCCTGCAATTAAGAGCACTTCTTTGTGATTTCAAAATTCATTTAGAGTTTCTGAGTTTGGCTGTTTTTGTCATCTCCCTCGCGTCCCATTTGGGAATTCTGATGAGTAGTAAAGCCACAGCTGCGAGGGCCAGCACCACTCCTAGACTTGGGGGGCCGCAAGGGCTGAACTCTTGCGCCAAACCAGACAGGAGAGGAGCCAGGATTCGACCCACAGCTGTAACTGACTGCCCGGCTCCAATCAGAGTCCCGCTGGCCTGGACCCCGCCCCTCTGCAGCTCCAAATCTGTGATACATGTCCGTCCGATAGTGGTAGAAATGGCAAAGAAGGTGGAGGTGAGCAGCACTTGCCAAACATTCGGCGCAGCAGCATAGAGGAAAATAAGCGTACAGGTGAGCACCGTCGAATGGAGCAGTAAAGCGGGCATGTTGTTCTTATACAGCTGCGTGACTGGCCCCACCAGGAACCCAGCCAGGGCCCCTAGAGTGCTGCTGTAGCTGATCAGGTAACCGGTCATTTTTGGTTTGAGTGAAAAGCGCTCCTCCATGGCCAGAGAAAAGTTACTGTAGTAGAGCATGATAGCTATGGCCATCAGAAGACGCACAAGGAAGAGGTCCCACATGTCAGATGAGGCCACTATGTGGATCCTGGAGCCTACTGAGGACAGCTGTTTCCAGACTGGCTGAAGAAAAGACACATCCCTCCACCTGAAACCACCTTGATGCTTTCCAGGAGATGTAGACTCTTGCTGCGTCTCTGCTGTCAGCAATGGGTGGTGGCTATTTGTATGAGAACCATTCTGTACAGATTTACTAAAGTGGTTTTCGTGATACCCTGCACTCGTGTCGTTTCTGCAGACAGTGTCATTACGGTCAGCCAGAGTCTCACTCTGTGGTATCATCCATACGAGGCCTGCAATGACAGACACGCTGTATTGACATACATTTTAATTTTTACCTTCATGAACTCAGTTTATTAATCTCATTTTCCAACTCACCAGCATTAATAATGAAGATGGCTGCACAAGTAAAAGAGGATGTATAAAAGCCTCCTTCATGCTCAGTTAGGTAGCCACCCACCACAGGGCCCAGGATGAAGCCCACGCTGGAGGCGGCATTGAAATGTCCCATCACTAGAGGGCGCTCTGAAGCAGACACCAGGTCAGACAGCAGAGCTCTGCAGATGGAGAGTGAGTGCTTGAACAACCCTGAAACAGAAGACACACTGAGAAGAGGCAGCAGAATAACAGTCTACTTAAAAGGCTCTCAAGCCACACAACTGTTAATACTTAATCTAAGATTAATTTATTAATCGGATTATATCTAATATAGGTAAGTGGACGTGATAAAATGTGCTGAAACCAAGGTGCAGAGAGCCCTGCCGTTTTCTAATGAAACTAAGCAAACAAAAAAAGCTGCTAAGCATTTATATTTCTGAGTATAAGGTAGGTTTGAGTTCATAACATGAAGCTTTAAAGCTTGGTCAGTGGAAGGATGCTGATAAATATCCTTCAATGCAGGACACTGGAGATTATATGAAGAAAAAAGCAAAACAAAACCTCAGGCATGTTATGTAGAGCTGTGAAAAAGTACTTCACCCCTTCCTGCCTCCTGCATATTTGTCACACTTACATGTTTCAGATCATCAAACACTAGAGGTGGGAATCACCATATATCCCACGATACGATATTATCACAACACTTAACGCACGATACGATATTATTGCAATTTTTAAAAATATTTTGCGATATTCAGATTCTGTACATAAAGGTAAACTTTATCAATATTCATTTTATCTAATATCAAAGTCTCACACTCAGTCTTTCTCTTATTTCAGTCAGTTTTATTGTTGACAAACTGAACGGTTTGTATTACTGTCTAGTCCAACTTAACTGAATGCAACCATCTGGTACAATTATAGCTATTCTGAACTATGCAATTTATGAAAACTGAAGAATTTGAAAGTAAAATAAAACAAAATATAATTTTACATTAAATAAAAAAGTTTTAAACTTAATTAAAATAAAACATGTCTTAAATTAAAATAAGTAAACTGTCATGTTTATTGCTGCCAAAAAAAGTTAAACACATTTGGACAGTGAAGGAATGTCAGGATTCTCGCTCAGAAAAAGGATCAACATGCTCTGAAGTCAGAGCACAAAAACCTTTTTTGTAACAAAATATCGATTTCTGCTGTCCCTGTATCGATACGTATTAGCAAACAAAATATCACGATACTACACAGTATCGATTTTTCCCCCACCCCTATCAAACACAGTTTAATATTAGACAAAAATAACCCCAGTAAATGTGAAATGCAGTTTTTATTCATTGAGGGAAAAAAGGTATGAGATAAATCCTTTTCTAAGGGATGGATATGTGACTTAGCTGATAAACACCAGTGATGCGCCCCTTTGAGGTTTCCGACTTACCCACAGGTATCCGTGCAAGTACAAACAAAGCGATGCTGGTGGACATCCCCAGCAGGCCGTAGCCTAGAGCGCTGAGCTGCAGGCAGGTCAGCAGAGAGTACCTCCGACCCACCACGTCGCTCCAGCTGCCCTGCCAATCGCACAGAGGAAATGAAACACAACCACAGAAAAAATGTAAACGTTTATAATTCCCGAACTCATTTTCAGCGGTGAGATGACGGATATTTCCACAGCCCTGCCAAACATCTGAAAAGAGGGAGTTGATGCTAAATTGCTCGAAGATTCATGACAAATACTGAAAAACCGAAACAAACAGAAAGCAGACAAAAATATACCAAATTAAATTCTGTTTCTGATCTCTGAATGTTAGTCTGAAAGATCAGCTGACTCGAGAAATATCCTAAAACGCTGCATTTCCTCCATCGAGGCTGTCACACAAGTCTTTATTAGATTCTCGCCCTCTCTCACACACGCATACAAGCATCTGATGAAATAACACAATTAGGGCCAGTTGAGATGGGTGGGATTATCATAGAGACCCAGCTGTTCACATATCCCTACATTTATCAGGAATCAGCCGGTCTGAATACAGGAACTAACAGATGACTCCTTATCTGTTTAATTTGTCCCATGACCCCTGAGAATTTAAACCAATTTCAAGACCTTTGGATGGGCAGGAAAGCTGCGTGTCCAACTTCAGATACGACGCTTATTGTGTGGCATTTGAATGTGGTTCTGATTTGATTTTTCATCATGGCACCCAAAGGACTGCACAGATAAAACAAAGTCTCTCCCCCAGTATTCAATTAGCAGTGGAGACAAAGGGTAAAAATCTATTTCTGTGTGTATATAAATCTGTACAACTGGGGCTAAGTAGGAGTGTCTTGTGTGTATGAAGGGATGGAGACTGGGTGCATTGTGTGACCTAAAACAGACAGTGTTTATTGTTTTCATGAAATTCCAGGGATGACAAAGAATGTCTCGACCAAAATGGTTGCAGAGTTAGTACTTACAACTATAGTGCTCGAGAAAAGCTGCAAGATCCCATATGTAGATCCTGCAACAGAAGATTTGCTCAAGTTTACATTTTAAATATAAAAAAACACAGAGCAGACATCGCACGCGCTGAGATCCAGTGATTCTAATGCCACTTTTTGCAGATACTAGACATAACTTCTTTTTTAAAAAACATAAGCAGACAGTGACACATGGGGAAATTTAGAAATATTGTGTCAGAGTTTTCCCCAGCATAGCGACTCTGAATCCAGTGATATCTGCAGCATAAATGGCACAGCGACATCACAGCTGTGCAGAGGAAGGCCCAGAGTCAGGGTAGGTCTTTACAGTAAATCACTCTGTATATACACTACTGCACTGGCAACTTTATTAGGTATGTCTACTTACTAGCAAATATGTAATCAGCCAAACTCATGGCAGCAACTCAAAGGCATGTAGACATGGTCAAGATGACCTGCTGAAGTTCAAACTGAGCACCAGAAAAGGTGATTTAAGTGACTTAGAATGTGGCAACTGTCTTGAGGGTTTACAGAGGATGGGCCGAAAAAGAAAATATCCAGTGAGCGGAAGTTCTTTGGGTGAAAATGTCTTTACACCCTGTCTGTCTGTCAGAGGAGAATAGCCAGACTGGTTCAACCTGATACTAAATAACCACTTGTTATAACCAAGTTATGCTGAAGAGCATTTCTGAAAGTATAAGACTTTAAGCGAACTTGAAGCGGTACCACTGCTGTCAGCTAAGAATAGAAAACCAGGGTAACATTTTGCACAGGTTCCTCAAAATTGGACAACAGTTCAGGTGGTGGTGGATAACACACCACGTCATGAAGTTCAAATCATCTAAAACTGGTTTCTTAAACATAGCAATGAGTTCAGTGCTCTCAAATGACCTCCACAGTCACCAGATCTGAATCCAATAGAGCACCTTTGTGGTGGAACAGGACATTCACAGCACAGATGTGCAGATTTTGGTGTATTGTGCCAAGACAGACCAAAATCTCTGAGGAATGTTTTCAGCTGCTGTTGAATCTGTGTCACGAAGAATTAAGGCACTTCTGAAGGGTAGTAGAAAAGTGCACCTATTATTATTCGGCTCATCTTTCAACAACACAAGGTCCTGACATACTGCTAAAAAACTATTATTCAATTGATGTATAACAATAAAAATAATCACAGAACATGGCACTGGGACATTCCCATATTATATTGTGCATACAGTGTGCAGAAGTGAGGATTAAACAATATATTATTGAGAGTGTTTGTTTGATTGTTTTGTCACTTGTAGTCTCCACAGCCTTCCAGTCTGCTGTAGATTTATTCACTTTTGTGTCACTGTAAGGTTGGTGCTTGCAGTACACCAGCTGCATAATTTAAACAAATGTATGTTATGTATTGCGGAAACAACATACCTACAATACCGGCCACAGTGGGACTTGCTCCAAGAGCCTTCACGTGATGGCTCAGCAGTGGGATGATCATGCTCACCCCAAACAAGTCCTGTAAAGAAATATGGAGGAACAAAGGTGGAATGAGGCTGACGGGAACATGCAAATCAAACATGGTGTCCAGCATACAGCAGGGAGAGTCTGTGGCCAGATTCAGCAGCCACGTAGAGTTGTTGCTCATCCTGTTTTTCCTGCACCGCTGAGATCAGAGCAGCTCTCCGAGCCAAAATCTTGATTGAAGTCACACAGCAGCTCATGCAGTGTTCCTGACCCAGTCCATTACAGAAATTACTTAACCTTCAGTAGCTTTACTGTGCCAGTGCTGCACAGTGCCAAATAAATCTGAGCTGACTGGATCCCTCTAGTCATCTCTAATTGGATGCTTGTTTAGCTAGGTATGACAAAGTTATTTCTCTAAGGCACAACTACAGGCGAGCTCTTAAAATAACAGCTTTAGAATGATCTAGACTTGTAGATCAACTTTGCATTACAGTACTGACAGCGATGCTTTGAAGAGGTAACGCCAAAAACATTAGGAAATACCTTCATCTTAATTTCTTTTAGTAGCCAAGCATTACAATGGTTATTATAAAAGGTCTTGTAGATACATGACAGCTGTCTCCAGCAAGGATTTCCAAGAGCACCACAGTCGTGCTGAGTCTAATGCTCTATAAACAGACTTTGGACCGACACTGTGCTTAATACATTCACATCCAGTCAAAGCAACTAAGTGCAGAAGCTCTAGAGTTTCCTTTCTTTGGGCTTCAAAAATTATAAACGTGGTGCAGAAGTTAATTTTTCAGTACGGGACAAATATGACGCGTAATAAGGGCTATTGTGAGAGTTTGATTCAGGTTAAAGAGCTCAGGTTTATTATTTGCATGTTGGAAAACTCATTTTAGCTTGCAACTTCCTTGAACTTTTCCCCTTTATTATTTGTATAAATAATAAATGTCTTAATGTATTCTATTTTTTTGCTAAAATAACAAAAAACAACAAGTAGGCATTATACAGAGTTTTAAATATGAAAAGGAAGGGATTAAAAAGCCCCAGCATGTTTTACATCATCATACCTGAGTTACGAAAGCATGACTAGGAAACAGCACACCTAAAAAAAACACCGAACTGAGTGGGGTCATCTCTCAGTGAGGCACTCACCATGAAGCCCACCACATAGATACATTTTATAATCCTCCTCCGTCTTCTGTCTTTCAGTAATAAAGTGCTACATTTCTGGTTGATCATCCTCCCGCTTTGACAGCACGGCTACAGCCAAGGCGGAAGCGCTCATCCGCTCTAACTATCCAAACAGAAGCGGTGGTCTCATAAGGACGGGGTGATCGCAAGCTTCCGGGTTTTATCTGTGTGAGAAAACGTGTCCGATGTGAAAGCTGGTTGTCTGTAAATAAGACTATCGAGTTTTCGGCCTACGATAAACTTGACTTTTTAAGTCTGGGTTCATTTAAGAGTTGCTGAACCGACGTGTTGGCTGGTCTGAAACACCTATAGATGGTATAACCCACTGACGTCACAAAATATGAGCTTTCCCCGTCATTTTCCCCAATAATTTGTGGAAAATCATAAAGCGTTTTTATTTATACCTGTTTAGAAAAAAGGTTTAGCCTTCATCTTAAATTATTTTAATTTGTTTTGCATTTGTTATTTTGTATATTTGTTATAGCTTCTAAAAAACTGCAGATATTTTCAGCACTGTAGATTGTAGTCTAACCCACCTAATGTTGTTACTTAACTCACAGCAACACTGCGTCTCGTATCGGATAGATAGTATTAACAGTGTCGTAGAGTTTTGTTGAAAGATGTTTAGACGTTATCAGAGAGGGAGGTTTACTTGTACGCCACCTGCTGGGGTTTCCAAAGCATTACAACAGACACTTCAGCAGAATTTAATTTAACGTTTAAAAAAATGTGAACGAGAGACCTATTGACCTATTAGACAACGTCTGGCCAGAATGAAGAAGCTAGCTGGTAAAGTATGCAATTCACTATATGTAGTCATTAAATTCAATGATGATTGAAACTTGACTATAACTTATTCAAGTTTCCTGTAATATTTGTAAGTGTGCTTGGATATTACTTTGGTAATTAAGCATTGTTAGTTGCTATATTTCCATATAACAACTTTGTTCCCACCTTATTACCTTATTATTAGAGTGCCACCAAAAAAATCCCTATAGATCCATGTACAGATAAATCTATATACATGTACATGGTTACATAACCTACAAACTTTTCTAGTACATTGTGCAAACATAGACTGGAAATTGTGCTCAGAGGCTTCCAAAACGTCAAAAAACACCCCCAAACCAAAACCAGTACATATATATCTATATATTTAGGTTTCAGACAAGAAATAATAATATCTGATAAAACTCTGATTTGAACTTTTGATCTTTTTGATGCTAACACACATACCGAACCTTTGAGTGAGTGTGGCCTGGATCACATCAGTGTGTAAATTAGACAGAGTCCCCTTATAGTTTTACTGCTAAATATTCCCCCCAGATGCTAAACCGGCACTTCCTCTCAACTCACACTGAGCATGAATACAACAAAATTATATTTCCGAAAACATCAGTGGAAGATACATTTTAACTTAAATTTTAGCACAGTTAAAAGAAGTAACCGTGTTATTTACTTTTACATTATTAAAGGCTGCATATATTTTTTATGATTCCAGTGTAATAGACAAAATGAGATCTGTATCAAAATGTCTAAAACGATGAAAAAAATAGTTGCTTTAAAGAGTTTGTGTGACCTCCTTTGTGTGATCGCTTCAATTTGTATAAAGTAATTTTTAACTTCCTATTGTGTCTTATTGCATGAGGTCTGGTTGGTAAAAGTCATTTTTATATAGATTATACTTGTATGAATCAACTGAAAATCAGCAAAGAAGTTGCATGAAAGGCTTCATTTACAGTAATTTGTAACACTCTGTTGGCGTTAGCCACTGTTGTGTGTGTTTATGTGTGTGTGAGTGTTGGGGGAGACTTTACTCCTCTTCTGTCCTTTCGGTCTCACCCTGCCCTGACATTCCTGTGCAGAGACTGGGTGTCCAATTGCCACCGGTTATTTTGGTGTTAATTCTTTCCCTTCATACTCTCCAAATGCTGCACACACTCTGCTCCATAGTAGAGTGAAGCAGCCGCTTAGAGCCAGAAACCAAAAATAGCACAGGGGTAGGGGGGTTCAGACCCCAGTGGAGGATCTAAAGGTGTCACATGGACAACTTTGTCGCCCCATAACACAGACAGAGAGACGGGAGTGGTGTTAAGGTCCAGCAGCCCAACAAAACCTAGCTGAACTTATCTCACTCGCTGGATATAACACATAACAAGAGGAGTGACTGGATCTGACTCAGCTTGTCACATGCACTAGTTGGAGGGGAAAGTCAGACTGAGTGTGGGCATCCTGTAACTAAGTGGCTGATCAGTCCTGGACCATGAAGCTTAGAGTGGCGTTGTTCTTCGCAGGGCTCTTTGGGGCGTTGGCAGCTGTGTTCATCCTTCTCTCTTTTGGAACCGATTACTGGCTGCTGGCTTCAGAGAGCTGCCAGTTAAGGCCTAATGGATCTGCTGGCCCAGGTGGCGTGACCATAAAGGTGAGTTTTTGACCTTAGAAGAGAGTCCGGTATAGTTTATTTTAAGCCGAAGATCAGGTATGTGTTCATAGCTTTTACTGTTTACATGTGAAGTCTGTGGAACCAAAGAGAAAAGAGTTGTTCTTCCTTTAAGACAAGAAATAAATCCAGCAGATTGTTGTTTTGCACCATATTTAACCTCTTAAAGGTGAACTGTGTATTTCCAGTCTATACAGGTTAATGGTGGATCTTTAAATTCAAATTTGATCAGTTGTTTCAATCAGTCTTTCAGTAGTAGGATTGCAGGGTGGAAAGGCATCCCCGTAGGACCTACTTGTGTAATAAGACACTGTTTAATGTGGCGTGTGTGCAGCTATGTAGTGATTGAGTCACCGAGTGTAACATTTGGCCCCCTATGATTGAAATACAAATACCAGCAGTCTCAGTTAGTGTATTAAATATCACCGACTAACAGCATACTTAAGTTTTCAGGGTTGGCACTGTTGCTGGAATCAAGACATGATGGCAACACAATAAAACCAACATGTTTATATATACAGATATAGCTGCCCTGTATGTCAGCTATTTGGCCTTCTGGCAACTCCAACCTTTCAGCCTGGATCACTTTCCTTATTTTTGCAATCATTTGGCCACACACTCACTCTGCATGACATCCCTATGTCCTTGCTTTAGAGCCTGGTGAGTTGGATCAGTGAGTCATTATCTCACTCATTCATGGCATATCCAGCTTGATGTCATCCATGTTGAGGAGGTGGTTCGTGGTTATATCCGTATCCACTCTGGCGGTGAGCTGGTCCAGGGGGTAGAGTGCAGTGAGTGTTTCTCACTCGTTAGACTTGTTTGTGAGGTATCACACACCTTATTTTGTGTGACAGTTTGTGTCAGTGTGCTTGTGATAGCGTCTGATGCCTATAATTGTATTTTGACACCTCTGATTTATCATCACCTGCCTGTGGAAACTTAAAGCTTTGAGTGAGAACCTTCTGCTTTCCTTTAAAAATTGCAGAAAAATAAAATGTTTCAAATGTTTTGTAAGGCTAATTTTAAAGCCTGGCTGGACATGGCTGATGTCATGAAGCCTGAAGCCTCAAGATTCTTCCCAGCTCCACTTTCATTTCCCTGAGAGCCATTCAGTGAGCATCAGTGAAGAGCTTGGTCTGTTGGCCTCTACACACATTTGGCACCAATTCAGTTTTATTTATATAACCCCAAATCACAATAACAGTCACCTTAAGCAGCTTCATATTGTACAGTAAAGACCCCAGACCCTAGAAGCCCAGCTAAGTGCGCTTGCTGGGCTTGACCCTTGATCCTTGACCCTAAATATATTAACCATTCTGTAACACTTTGGCAGCAGTCTGAGCACCTGCCTCACATAATTTTGACACATCTCTTATATACTTTAATCCATCAGCTAACAAAATGGCGTGCATACATATCTGTCCCATATTTGTAAAACCCAAATGGTAAAATGGATGATAGCTTTTCCACTCTTATTGAGCACTCAAAGCATATTTTATTACCCAGTCACACACATATTCATCAAGCACTTCTTTATTCTATGCCTAAACTCCATGGAGCGATTCAGGGTTTGGTATCTTGCCCAAGAATACTTTAATATGCAGGCCGGAGGAGCTGGGGATCAAACCACCGACCTTCTCACTGGCAGACCTCCCACTCTACCTGCTGAGCCTCAGTCATCCACTCCCCACTTTATTGTTCTTCTCCATTTCAGCCTGGAGATGTGGTGCTGGAGGGCAAGGGCAGTAGTGATGTCACTCTATACCACGAGGGTTTTTTCTGGAGGTGTTCCTTTAAAGGCGACATGGAGGATGACGACCTGCTGAAGAGACTCTGGTTCAGTAAGTAAGACTTTATATTGCTTTATTTTGAATTTGATTAAAGTTCATGTCTAATGTGCTATATGCACTATTTGTAAAACCTTTCAACATCCAACAGTTTCCCTGTGACCAGTTTAGGGGTTTAGGGTTACAGTGACATCCACACACTTTTTTGTGGTGCGTTTTTCCTCTTCGGTACACAGAGATTTGATCTGAAAACTTCTTGCTTAATAAATTTCGGCCGCTCTTCCACTTTCTTCACTCCCAAAAATGAATTCATAGACAGAAATGTCCAGTAATTTAATGCCTTTGTTTATGGTGTTTTTGTTTTTCATATTTAGAATTATTTTGACCCCCAAAAAAGTCTGACCTTGTGAATGTGAACTGGGTAGTTGTGCATAAAAATGACTAGAAATACGAGAGAGGAGATTTCAATTGTATTTCTATTGTTATTTTAAAATTATGAATAGGGCTAGTGAGCCTGTCACATCCATGACACCAAACAGAACCCTGGGCTTTAATTAGTCCTGCTGAGACAATCCTTTGCAGGTAAAAGGCAAAATGTAAAGACAATGTGAGCACAAAAAAGAAAAACCAAAAGCTTGAGGTAAAACAGAGAATACACTGGGGGAAAACACACACTGTAAATGGGGACCCCCCCCCCCTCCCAAAATGGTAACAATTCACATGACTAAATAAGAATTAAAAGAATAATAACCCAAGATATTGGCTCGAATGAAACCAACACAAGTGTTCAAAACACAAGAATCTGAACGTTAGAAATTAGACTAGGATACAGAAAAAGCATGAGCAGTTCCACGGATCATGACAGCAGAGTGAAAAAAATGAGGACACACAAACAAGAAAGATATTCTTGCATTTTTCTTCTGAAACTGATGCTTGTTTAAGTGCAGTAAATTGCTCCCCTCAGATGTTCTGCTGCCACCATCACATGACAGCTCTACGACGCAGTTTTTAACATGCTGCTGCTATGGCTGTTAATATTGTATGACAGCATAGCCGTAGAAGCCCTTTCATGTGACTGTTTTAAGGCCATGCCATGTGATGTTATTCGGTTGTTTTGTCAGGTGATTTTGTGTCATCTTTTTTTTTCTAATGGCGACTTTGAATGGTGAGCCATTGTCAGGAATAGCCTCCAGAAAGAAAAGGGCCTCGTGACGATCTGTGGAATTTCATGTGTTGGGAGCAAAGAG